TTTGTCTCCGGTCTCGTAACTCAGCTCCATAGAAGTCTATGGGGCACTAATGAGAAGGAATGGCCAGGAGAGTTAGACATTCATCTGTGAAATCATAACTTTATTGCTGATAATATTGGACTGATATCCCAATCAGTGTTAGCAGCCCTGCCATTGTGAACTACCTACCAACCTCCCTGCCCTACCCTACCTTACTCTACTCTACTACATGTTATGGAAATGGGGAGGTGATCTGTAGTCTTAACACACTTTCTAACCTAGGCTAATTCTCCACAGACATAGTGAGTGTTGTCGTTCTAGGCCAGGGGTGTCCCTACACTTTTCACCAAATGACTCCGGGGGAATTCTGATGGTGCACAGTCCAGGGTGAGTGGGTGGTATAGGGGAGTGCTGGTGGAGCACACGTTACCTGAAGGGTGATGCTGGTGGTGCACGGAGCGGGGAGAACGGCTGATGTATGACACCTCTGGCTCCAGTTCTGTTCGTAATCCCATCCTGCCCAGCTCACTGATGTCACTGGCTGCCAGGAGCTGGGTGGGACATCAGCCAGAGTGGCCCACTTAGCTCCTGGCAACCAGTGGCGTGGGTGGGATGCCTGTCAGAGCATCACAGGTTGCTAAGAGCTTAGTAACCTATGAAGCTCTGTGTGGAAAGGGGGCAGAAGATACACCTGCCCCACCCACCATGTAACCCAATGCGATGCTCCCTGTGGCAACCACCTCATTAGTGGGACGGCCCTGGTTCTAAGACAGACAGCATGTTACTAGAAGAATCAACAGGTGAAACTAGATTTTTTTAATAATCTGAAAAAAGAAAACGAATGCAGCCATATTTGTTTTTGAGGTTTAGATACATTTTAACATTCCTTCCCTCTCAACACAAGGCTATTTGTCTTCTCCCACCAGGTCAAGACATCTCTGCCATTAGATGCTATGGTGAAATTTTTGTAAAACTTTTTGGGAAATGTGCAGTAATTTCCAGAAATGACTTTTTGTTGGTGCTTTGATTGGTTAGATCTTGATATAAATAATAAATCCTACTCTCTTTTCTTTTCTTTCCCAGGGGCAGAATGTGTTTGGACTTGACGTCATCGAAACCCCCGAAGGTGACAAGTGGCCACAGCTTATCGTCCAGCAGAGTCTGGACAGGGAGCAGAGGGACACCTATGTCATGAAGATCAAAGTGGAAGACGGGGGAAATCCACCCAGATCGAGCACCGCCATCTTACAAGTGACGGTCACCGATGTCAACGACAACCGGCCGGTGTTCAAGGACAAAGACATAGAAGTGAACATTGCGGAGGACGCCCCCGTGGGGACATCCGTGACGCAACTTCATGCCACGGACGCTGACTTGGGCTCCAATGCCAAAATTCACTTTTATTTTGGTAACCAGATATCCAACCTTGCCCGGCGGCATTTTGCCATCGATAACAACACTGGATTAATAACGGTGAAGGAGCCACTGGACCGGGAGGAAGCTCATTTTCACAAGCTGACCGTTTTGGCCAGTGATGGCAGTTCAACACCGTCAAGGGCCACCGTCACCATAAACATCACAGACATTAATGACAACATCCCCTCGATCGATACAAGGTATATCATAAACCCCGTGAATGGCACTGTACAAATATCGGAGAAAGCGCCAATTAACACAAAAATAGCCTTAATTACCGTTACAGACAAGGATGCTGATCTGAACGGCAAGGTGACCTGTTTCACAGACCACGAGGTCCCATTCAGGTTAAAGCCGGTGTTTGACAATCAGTTCTTGCTGGAGACTGCAGCCCCTTTGGATTTCGAGACCACAAGGGAGTACGCCATCAAGATTGTTGCCTCCGATTCCGGGAAACCACCATTAAACCAATCTGCTATGCTTCTTATTAAGATAAAGGATGAAAATGACAATCCTCCAATTTTTACACTCCCTATGATCGGGCTGTCCTTCATCGAAAACAATCCCCCTGGAACCGAACTTACCAAAATAAGCGCCACTGACGCAGATAGCGGTCGCAACGCGGAGCTCAGTTACATGTTGGCTCCCAACGCTCCCTCCATATTCAACCTTGACCGAAGGACAGGGATTCTTACAGCAGTCAGGAAGCTGGATAGAGAAAAACAAGACCGATACACATTTACCGTTATCGCAAAGGACAATGGAGTACCGTCCTTGCAGACCAACACCACAGTGACCTTATCCGTGCTTGACCAAAACGACAACAGCCCCTCCTTCACCCACAACGAATACAACTTCTACGTTCCGGAAAATCTGCCCACTTATGGAACCGTGGGTCTTATCACGGTGACGGATGAAGATATCGGGGACAATGCTGAGTTTTCTCTGTCGCTGGTCAACGCCAGGGATAATTTTATAATCGACCCCCACACGGGCGTCATCAAACCAAACATCTCATTCGACAGGGAGCAACAAGGTTCGTACACTTTTCAAGTGAAAGCGGTTGATCGGGGAACTCCACAAAAATCTTCAACAGTGAAAGTGACCATTTTTGTTGAAGATGTCAATGATAATAAGCCCGTGTTTGTCATGCCGTCAACCAACTATTCGTGTGAGCTTGTGCCCACATCGGCCAATCCTGGATCTGTTGTTACTCGGGTTTTCGCTGTTGATAATGACACAGGGGTGAATGCTGATCTACGCTATAGTATAGTTGGTGGTAACCCAAGGGGTTTGTTTACCATAGACGAAAGGAGTGGCAACATCAGCTTGAAAGAGAAAATCCTTGCTATAGACCATGGCTTACATCGACTTGTTATAAAAGTCAATGATTCCGGAAAACCAGAGCCCTTTTATGCAATAGCTCTGTTGCACTTATTTGTCAATGAAACCATTACCAATGGATCTTATGTTCAAGAGCTAGTGCGGAGAAACATGGAAACGCCAGTAGGGCAGAATATCGGGGAAGGAGATATAACGCCGCAAACCAATGACTACGTCAAAATCATCATCGCCATCATTGCAGGCACGATGACGGTGATCCTGGTTATTTTCGTCACCGCTTTAGTTCGTTGCCGCCAAACCCCGAGGCACAAGGTGGTCCAGAAAAACAAGCAGACCGGTGAATGGGTCTCCCCAAACCAAGAAAACCGTCAGATCAAGAAAAAGAAAAAGAAGAAGAAGCGTTCTCCAAAAAACCTCCTCCTGAATTTTGTGACCATCGAAGAGACTAAGACGGAGGATCCTGCCCACGAGCACATCAACGGCACCTTGGACATCCCGGTGGAGTTGGAAGAACAGACTATGGGAAAGTACAATTGGGGCACCACTCCGACGACCTTCAAGCCAGATAGCCCAGATTTGGCCAAGCACTACAAGTCTGCTTCTCCGCAGCCTACCTTCCAGATTAAGCCCGAGACTCCGGTTCCTCCAAAAAAACACCATGTCATCCAGGAGCTGCCTCTTGACAACACTTTTGTGGTGGGTTGTGACTCGTTGTCTAAGTGTTCCTCAAGTAGCTCGGATCCGTACAGTGTCTCAGAATGCAGCTGTCAAGGAGGCTTTAAAGCTCCCGGCCCTATCCACACACGACAGGTAAACTAAAATGCATCATTGTCTTAATTCTCCATCGATAGATTCCGTTCTTTGATTTGTTTTTTCCTTGACAGGTTTAGACGTCGGCCCCACTCAAAACCCTTACTTCATTTTCCATGTGGTTGCTGGCAAATTAAATCACAAGCTGGCCTCTAAAATTCCATTCACAATGCAACATTTCTATATGAAGTCTGCTGTCACGATCTGGGATCAATCTCAGAGTCCAGCAGCTGAAGCAGCAGGCAATTCGTAGAATAACAGGCCGGGTTTGGTACACAAGCAGAGGGTAGCAGTGGAGGAGCAGGCAGAAGCGTGGTCAGCGAACAAGCCGAGGTCAGGAGCCAAAGGTATCAGGTATGTAGCAGAAGATGCTGAGAGTAGTCGGTGAATCAGCAGCCAAAGGTCGGTACACGGGTAGCGGTATGAGCGGATTGTATCACAGAGGGAGCAGGAAGCAAGATAATGGCAAGAGCACAATAATCTGGCAAAGAGGAAGTGCAGAGGCGTGGCTTAAATAGGAAGTTCAAGGGAGGAGCAAGGAGTTCAGAGTTTAGCAGAGATTATGTATAACTGTGGATTACACAGGAGATCAGGCAAGACATTATTAAAGGTTCTAAGGTGGCTCAGCAGGAAGAACCACCGCCAGCTACAGCAGAGGCCCTGATTACAGATCTGGTTCCTGACATCTGCCAGAATATCTATATTTAGCCATGCAGTATTGACCACTGTTGTCACCTTGTGGGAGTTGGAGGAGAAACAAGCTCTTGAATATTAAACTGCCAGCTGGTGATTTAATACACTGGTACCCAACTGGAACTGAAATATCTATGTTGAGTGGTCTTTAAAGTACCTTTTATATGGTGTTTTCTGATTGTATAACCATGCATACTAATGATTCTGGTACAAGTTTGGCAGGCCCATCTAACCCTGTAGCACTACAGCTTTCTATTCTATTCTATGAATCTTCAATCAGTCAGTGCCTTTCTCATTTGAATATTCTCATTCTTTGTTCCAGGGGCACAAATATGTGTCATGAAACCCAGTTAAAATAATAAGGGGCCCTCTGCCTCTCCTATGCAATCATATTACCAATACAGAATTCTGCTTGCTTTCATTTGCATCCTATAGAAGTACCCAAACTGTACATACATTCACTGTATCTAAATCTATTTGCTAAGTTCTGCAGTTACCTGCATAAGTGACTGTGTAGCTAGACATGGTGACCCCCTCTGTGTATGGGCCCCATAGCAGTTGCATGTTTATGGCTATAGTTACACCCTTGCTTTAGTAGAATGTTTACATTTTTGCTGGAATATCTTGAATTGTGCATTGGTTTATATCTCTATGCATGTCCCTTTGGAATTCTAAGAGGATTGATACTTGTAAAGAAAAAGCCAAAAATGACTCGACCTAGGCAAGGCATGCAAAAACATATACAGTTTGTGGTTCACTGCTTCCAGAATGGGTGAATGTTTGGCTGAGGAACTTTGTGTCGACTGCGTTCCTTGAGTTACTCTGTCCTGCAGATGGCAGTGCAGCTCTCCGCCTTGTCAGCGCATCGGATTGTTGAGCCTGGAGAAGCAATGGAAGTGCATTAGTGTTTTCCATAACGCTATTGTATGCATCTGAGTAAACTAGGCTAGGTGCAAAGCAATAAAGCTTTGCAGGATCTGATAAGTGCTTCTTAATGGTAATTGAATGGCAGCCTTCCCCTGGACTCTGCTGTATTTCAAGGTCCTTTCATAAGATAGGCAGGCTTTCTTTGGCTGAGAAATGAGTGCAAAGTTCACGCAGCAAAGCCAGCGAGCTTACAATTCCCTCTGCAATGGAGAATTTATCAGAACAGCAGACCCAGATTTAGATGTTGCAGATTTACAGAGACACCAAAGGGTGCTTTTTGCTGTTGTCACCTTGTCCAGCGAGCTCTGCAGCATTTGAATGTTACATTGTGTTTATAATACAATAATACCTTTGCTGTTTTACTGCACTCTGCAGTTTATGCTTTATTCAGAAAAGGATACAATGTATTTCCAATAATATTTCTAGTATTTTCATTTTATTTTTATTTGTTTATTTATTGTCGCCTTGTTCAGCAAGCACTGCATCCTTTGACTGTTACAGTCTTTTTATAATACCTTTTGTTGCTGTACTACAATGTGTAGCTTATGGTTCATTCAGTAAAGGATGCAATGTATTTCCAATAATATTTCTAGTATTTCATTTTTACTTGTTTATTTTATTTTAATTTATTTATTTTATTTTTATTGATTTATTTATTGTCGCCTTGTTCAGCAAGCACTGAATCCTTTGACTGTTACAGTGTTGTTATAATACATTTTGTCGCTGTACTACAATGTGTAGCTTATGCTTCATTCAGTAAAGGATACAATGCATTTCCAATAATATTTCTAGTATTTTATTTTTATTGATTTTATTTTTATTTGTTTATTTATTGTCACCTTGTTCATCAAGCACTGCATCCTTTGACTGCTACATTGTTCTTACAATACCTTTTGTTGTTCTACTTTTTGCATTATGCAGTAAAGGATACAATGTATGTTTTGGAATATAGTTTGCTCTCTTTTTTTTTTATGTGTGGGACATTTTTTTGCTGACATCATTACAACATATTGAGACCAGAAGAGCTCCTCCATTTTTATTATGCTAAGTTGCTTTTTGAGTTTTAATAGGTCATTAATGGTGCCATCATATTTCAATATGTCTGTGTATATTAAACGATCTTAAAAGGGACACAGCTTGATGTTTTACTTCTTTATTTGTGAGTATTATATCATTATGATTGTGGGTCATTGGAGTAAAATTCCATTTATATGATTTCCAATAGCAGGTTTATTGAAATGTGAGCAAAAGCTGCATAATTACCATCCACGCCATGCATCTTCTAGCTATGTCTATTGCAAGGCGCCTATGACGTTGATTGATCTGCCATCAGAATTGCAGTATTTATTATCATAAACACACAGCTTCAGCTATTAGCATTGGTATAGAAATGTGAATAGGATACTTCAGATTTGCTAATAGCAGCAAGTAACCTTTTATAACCCTCTAGGCACTAGATTGAAGGACCCAAAGCTGCTTTAGAGAATCTGATAATACATTATATAATATTACTGAGATGTGCTGGAGGAACATTTACATTGTGTTGACCTTTTTTTATGTGATTGCCCATTTTAGGGTGGGAAAGGCTGGCTGTGTTGTCCACTGATGGCAATATTACATAGAAGGTCAGCTGTGTGTAGAGCCAAATCTCTGCCTTGTTGGACCACTGTTAGTCTGCTTACATTTACTTTTTTACTTATTTGATTTTGTGTTGCTTCATAAAGATAATGAGAATGACGAGTTGAGTTACAGAAGTAAAAGGGAAAATGATTGTAGAGTGTCTTTAGATGTAATGTACAATCTCATGTGTACATTGTATTATTCTGTCAGAATTAATAAATGCTCATTAGATGATTTACACTTATGTGTTATCGGCCTACAATGAGCAACCTCCGGCTTGTACCTCACATGGCATCTCTTTGGGTCACGTGGGGAAAGGGGGGCAGGCATAGCGGCATGTGCCTGCTGCCCACACCACCCCCAGGTTGCCAAGACTGATGTCACTGGTTGCCAGAAGCTGAGCGGGATGCACAGATC